TGTGGTTGGCCGACACTGGGAGAGGGGCAACGGCCACCGCAAATTTTGCTGTAGCCCCCACAACAGCTCCCCCTCCCAGCGCTGCTGCCAGCTGCCCCAAGCACACCCCCCCACACCTGCCCCTCCCAATGCCATGAAGAGCCCAGTGCAGCTCCAGTCCCAGCCTGGTGCAGCCCACCCCACCCGTGCTCAGCGCAGATCTATGCCCCCCCACCATGCCCTCTGCACATGCCTATATAAAGAAGAAAATTGCAGAGATATACACACTACCTTCAGAGGGGGCTACAAGTTGCGCCTCACCTTTCCAAAAATAAAGTAATCAGTCACAAGCCAACTGCTAGCTAATGATCTAACACTAAAATAACCACAACTGGGGATACGCAGTACGAAAAATCACCAATACAAGTACCTCGTCATTATCCTCATCCATATACTTAATTTGAATGTTGTTCAGGTCGAATGAAACTTTCACCTGAAAGAAGAAACAAAGATTGACACTTGACAGTTCTTAACTAGTCAGTCCCTTCCCTCTCCTCGCTCATTTATAGATCAATGAAGTTTTATGAAGTCCATTTTTCTGCAGCCCACCAATGTCACTGCCTCTCCTTCAGCCATTATACAGTTTAATCATCCAATAACAAAACCCAATATTTCCCCGATCCCTTCTTCTCTAGTTAAAAAGTACCAAAAACTAAAGATGCATTTAGTAATCTTTCCACTGAACTGGCACTGGACTTACTCCGTGTTAATTACTGTAATTGCTCACTATGTAAATACACTGCAATAAGGAGAGACTTGAAGCCAGTGCTCTTAAGCACAGAAACCTTTAAACAAACAGACAATCAGGAAACAATACACTCATGTGACCAGCCTTTATTTCACATACCTTCCTTCCTTGGGTTGCCAAAGGCTGGAGCAACACAAGTATCAGAAGACACAAAGTATTTCACTACTACCTGATGCACTATATAACTAAGTGACATCTTCTAGTGTTTCAGATTCAGTGCAGCCATTCTCTAGCTGCTAATTGCTTGAAATGAACTGTAAGCAAAGCCAGGTGTTTCCCTGCAGAACAGTTTCCAAGGCACATATACCTATATAAATCTAAGCATGAAAAGGCTTGCCTATTTCACGTGACTGGTAACTTTTTTACTTGTCTTTAGAAATTGTTACACAGGGGTCAGGTTTTGGCTACTGTGGATCTAGCAGGAAACAAATAAGTAGAGCTGGAAATGCAATGAAAATGGACTTTCATATCATTGGCATCCAAGAAGTAAGTTGTTCCCTACTAAATCTATTCAACAAATTACATCAGAACAGTACAAGCAGCTTTCCTCCAAGGACTGACCAAAGAACATCCTGCAAAGTACTCTTGACACAAAATGCTCCTCTCTGCCAGGTGTCTAGCTGCCATTTTGTCTACGAGTCAGAAGCAAAGCACTGCACTGGGACACAGCAACAGTGAATGCACATCTAGAAAACCTGCCCCTGCAAGCAGCTCCACTCACCATGGCCTCCACATCTGCCCATGTAGTGTTTGATGAATCTGAAACCAGGAAGCTCTGGGTCTCTCCTCTAAAGCTCACGCTGAGGTTTACCTGGGGCTCCATCCTGTGGGGCTGTCAAAGCAGAACGTCTGTCACTCACAAACCAGTCAGGACATGGCAGAACAAGCTCTGCAGGGATCGCAAATGCACGACCCTTAACACAGCCAGAGTTTACTTTAAATATTTGCAGCCTGAACCAGGAACTTGTTGGACAAAGCAGGACGGAAGCAGAGGCTCTACCAGCCCAGCCATTAGGTGCTGTACTGCCACCTGCGGCCAGGTGACAGGCAGCAATTCCCGAGCTATGAGTCATGCAGGGCAAGATGGACGAGGAGGAGGAGGCAGGGCCCAGGCCCCGGCCCCAGCCCCACTCGGCCTCACAGCGCCGGCCGGGCCGACGCGTCGGGCAAGAGGCAGCCACAAAGCTGGCTGCGCCTGCGGGGCCGGGAGCGACGGGGCTTCCCGATTCCCGCAGGACTGGCAGGCCGAGGCCGAGCCCAAGCAACCAGAGGGCGCCCGGCCCCACGAGCTTGCTCTCGCCGCCCGCGGCTGCTCCGTACCCGAACGCGCCCGCGGCTCCTCCGCTCGGTTATGCCGATCCTAACATGGCGGATTGACCTCACCCGGCCCCTCGCCGCTGCCGTCAGCCGATTGGTCAGAGCGACTGCCAATCTTTCCCCTCTGCTTGCTGGTTGGCCGCAGCGAAGGGAGCGGAGCGAACAGCCCGAGAACCAAAACAATAAACAGAAAAGAGGAAGCTAGAGCCGGGTAGAGCGACCCCGGGCGGGACTACATGTCCCGGCGTGCCCCGCGTCACTCCCACCCCCGCCGGCTCTGAACTTACATTTCCTTAACTAGAGCCGCAACTCCCGCGCCGCGCCGACGGGGTCATGACCCGCGGGTACCTCCCACTTAGGCCTGGTCCCCTGACCTCCCCTCTCACTCCAGACAACAGGCTATTCTGCCCCCCATCTCACGTGACGGAACAAACACCCGCGGAGGGTCACACGGAGCGGTTGAGCCAGTAGAGTCAATCAGTACCCTCGTTTCCCGGTGCGGGGCGCCGCGCGGACGCAAGAGCCAATACAAGAGCTGTTGTCGGCACGTGACTGCGACTCCGCCGTGTGATTGGCGGCCGTGGGGGGCGGGCTCCTGGGGGGCGGGCTCCGCGGTCCCTTCGCGCCCCAGCCCGGGCCTTCCCCGCTGAGACTCGTGTTCTGGCTTTGCGGAGCTTCGAGTCCAGGTGCCCCGCTGTCGTCGGGAGGGCGATGCCGGCTCGGCCTGGCTCCGCAGGCTTCTCGCCTTTCTTCTAAATGATATGAAGCGTTTGATCCTTTTGACCTGAGCGGCGTGGGTATTGTTGACGCTGGGAAGGGCGCCCCTGGTCCTAGCCCTGGGAGTCAGTGGAGCCTGGGGCTGCGTCTCTGCAGTTCAGTAGCTTGCAGCGTGTGCCCTTGTTTGCTGCCATCCTTTCCCTGAGGTAGCCCTCGCCTCTCACTCGCCTGCTGGCACTCCTACAAGAATTTCCCAGCTTGCTGCTGTGGTTCCTTTTGTCTCTCAAGCTCTGTACTCGTCTCCCTTTGCTTTGCATAGTCAAACTTTGTATCTCTACCTTTAGATCTGTTCATGAGCCAGGTTCTGCCTGTAGGCATGGGCACAGAAGCAGGGGTCTTTTGCCATTTAAAGCATTTTATTGCCATGACTTAACAAAAGTGCATGGCTTTACAGCCCTTCAAAAATGGGTACAGTGCTTTAAATAAACCCTTGTTATTATACTTGAAGTGCTGTAATTTACAGCACTTCAGCAGCCTACAGGGCTTCAAATAACTTCTGACCAGTGGAGAAGCCTTAAGAGTCTGGAGCATCCTCTGTCTCCAAGTTTGGAAATTGCAGGGAGGCTCACAGCACACCCCTCCCTGTACCTCTCCCACCAAACACTGTACTTCTGTTGTGTTTAAGAGCTCTATAACTTTATAAAGTTATAAAAAGTGCTCTAAATTACAGCACTGTAAAACTTCTGTACACACCCTAAATCTCCAGTATGATCTATTTTCATGTCCCATCTACCCTGTTAACAAAAATTTAACATTGATACCCCTTAGACTTCTTGCATAAACACCACTGTTTTCTATTTTGCTTTATGTAGCTAGAAAGCCCTTGCCTTATTCAGATTTCTCTAACCTAAAGCCTCAAACAATCTAGTTCATCTATTAAATTAACACTTCATTGGCAGGTGTGGGGGGAGAAAGGAGAACTCTTTCAGTAAGACCTATATGTGAGCACAAAAAGATCTTATTGAATCAATTTTTATAACTGTTTCAGTATTGCCAACACTCATGATTTTTGGTGTTGTTCTTAAAGACTGTGCTTTAGGACTGTGGAAAAACTTAGCTCTTGTGAAAAAAAATATATGTAAATATATATATAAAAAAAAAAGAGCTAAGTTTTTCACATTCTCAAAGTGTATAGTTTAAGAGCAACGCCAAAAATCATGAAAGTTAACAATGCTGCATTTTCAGTGCTATACTGGCCTTGTCTTTTTTGTGTTCATTATTTCAAGCATCTGTTCTGGATTTTAAGCTCCTCAGGCTCTGAGGAGCCTGGCATGTGGTCTGTTTTAATGTAATAATGTCCATATTCAAGGCCGAGATGCATCAGATACTGTGCAAAAATAAATTGTAATGCCTTTTCTTTTGGGTAGGGTATTTTGGAGCTGAAGGATGGACTTCTCTGTGGTTGCTCTTGGAGATGTGCAAAACGTACTTTCAGCTATGCAGAAGAATTTGGAATGCCCCATATGGTATGTCAAAGAAATGACCTGGATTTTACAGTGGGTTACAACATAACACTTTCTAAACTTGTGAGTTTTTTATTCTTGTATTCAAACACTTTGTTATAGATACAATTGGTAAAATGCCCAGAATGTTGGGCCATTTGGAAAATTAATCCCTTTGCATCTCAGAAAATAGTGAAATAATGTTTTCCTGGTCAGATCTAAGCATGAAGTGCCAGAGAAAACACTTCAATACAGGCAGCAAATAAGTTCTAACAAATTCTGCCTGTGATAGTGACATATGAACCTCCTAACCTCTTAACTCCTCAGTAAGAAAATCACTGCAGTGTGTTTATGAGCTCACCTTCTTTGTCTGTCTAATTTAAGTGAGGCTCATAATCGTTTAAAACTAACAATGAATTGGAGCTCCAAAATTTAAGATCCCTGTTGATCTTCAGGCAAACTTGTAATTCCTGAGAAATGTGTATCTAGTATATTTTACATGTGTTAACAAATGATTCAGGGATGAAAGCTATGATTCTAAGATTTTTTTTTTAAATGAGCTTAGTTTTTTAGTGTTTGTTCATTTTAAAAATTATCTCCTTAATCAATTAAAAATTCATCTGAATCAACTGCAGTGGAGATAATTTCTATTACAGTCACAGTGTAGATAAGCCAGTATTCTTTCCAGTAGATCAGTATAATGTCATGTCAGTAGATTCTGGAGCAGCTTAAGTGTGTTGCACTGACGCTACTTTGGTCACTGGATTGTCATTAAGACATGTTATAATGGCAGTAAATGGTGGCACAACAGAAATGAAAGTATCATTGTGGCTTGCAGGAAAAATGCAATCAAGTTCAGTGGACAAGGTACTGCTGTCAAATCTGCCTGCTAGATAGTTCCCACCATGTTCTGCTCTCTGTGTGCATAGAACTTAAGGGAATGCAGAATATCTGGTCTGAGAGAAATTTGTCCCAATTTTACTGATACTTTCTGTTTAATTAAGGAATTCTGAAAGGCAACATGGATTCAAGAGTCTTAAAGCTAACAGGATATTTGGTCAACAATAACTAAAGGGGGGGAAAAGCGTAGTTTAATTTAAGATCCTCCAAACTAGAGAAGCAGTAGATGGCAGTACTTCTGGAATAGATCAGCAGGTGCTGTACAGTGGTGGTGGCAATTATATAATGTGAACAGACAAACCTATGGATACTTTTGAAGTTCAGCTGTTTAGCTTGCATTTTTATGGAAAACAGTCATAAAAGTGTAATGTTCTCTTACTACAGCAGTTTAAGATATCAATTAAAAAAGTTAGTTAACAGCATAAAAGCTAAGGATCCAGGAATAGAAGTTAATGCTGGTAATTAACTTTGGCTATTGTTATTGTATATTGTATACTTTGCTATGAATTATTATTATTTAGACTGCCTTGTAGCAGAAATTACTGAGTTTATTTGAGCCATTTTTTTTCATCCAGGCCATTTCATCCAAACCAATTATTATGGAATGTGAAAGCCTATCTTATCCCCTCAGTAATTCAGGTTATTGCAAGCACATCTAACTTGTCCTGTACTCTCTACACTGTCTGCCCATAAAAAGATGGCTTAAATTCAAGGTCTCAATCTTTTTCCTAAGGCACTGAAAATTTGAATCCAGGATACCTAAAATAATCCCTGTACATTTATTTGAGACAATGACTGCAGATGAAAGTCCTGCTTCTCTGGTATAATGGAACTGTTCACGGAAAGGATAAAACTTATTTGTGCAGGAGATCTGAACTTCCTTGAGGGCTCATGCAGGACTGGGGAGCAGCCTCTCACTGGCATTAAGAACCACCACAGACCTCTCTATCCTTTGTTCCAGGTGTATGGTACACACCTTTTGTCTTTGTTTTTGCTAAACAAAGTACACAGCAGAATGTTTTTATATTAAATTATATAAACAAGGAAAACCTCCCAGCTCTTCCTTAGTGAGAAGAAGAGAAAAAGATATGCACTTGACAGATGCTAATATCACTTCATCATACAGGGAAAGTGCTCTTACTGCAGCGATCAGGATTTTGTAAGGTCCTCAATGGAACATGTATTAAAGACTTGTCTTCCCAGCTTGTGCATGAGAAGTCAGGGTTAAAGATGAAGACTTTGCTGAAGAAAAACTTGTCCCTTGTCATGCTGAATTGGAATCTTCAGAAAATGTACCTTATTGACAGAAGGAAAGAGAAAGAGTTGTGTGGGGGGCAAATAGTGTACACTGCAGGCAAAGGCAGATACTTTGCTTGGCTCTTAACTGAAATAACATAATTTGTGCTTTTCTTGGCAAAAATTATTTATTTAATTCTAGTTGAATAAAGTTTTTGTATTTATGAATTATATATTTTCGCTTTGTTTTTGTTTCAAGTAAGTGAATTGAGGTTGTGTTTGTTTTTGTTTTTTCCAGTTTGGAAGTGATAAAAGAGCCAGTCTCAACAAAATGTGACCACATATTCTGCAGGTATGCCTTCAGGATTTCTTCAGTCCACATGAGTAATGGTTCCACTATCCTATATAAACTTTCTCCCATTACTCCTAAGGGAATAGATTCCTTTGGTGCATTTACACATGCACTTCACTGAGGAGTAGACTAATTGGCTCCATAGTAAAACGTCACCATCTACACGTGCACCAGTATTAGGGCACAGTAAACTAATTAACTCCACCATAAGATAGTACTGTCAGGGACAGTACTATCCTACAGCAGAGTAATTTACTGTGCTGAAACTCATGCGTAGCCACTGACTGTGGGCGCAATTTACACTGTCAGCCCAGGCAACAGGGAGACAGACTCCTGCCTGCTGCCTAGCCACATGGCTCTGCACTTGCAACACCATTGTGCCCCAGCCAGCTCTTCCAGTGCTGCCACCTGGTGCCCAGAGCTGAGTCCCCATGCCTGCTGCCAAGCCAGGCTTGCTCCATCCTGGCTCAGATTGCTGCTTTTTCAGGTGCACACGTAGATGCCATGCACAGAAGCAGTTTACTCTGTCTTTGCTTTGTAGATGCACTCCTTGTTAATTAATAGTTAGCTATATCAAAAGGAGGAAATCATAGAATCCTAGAAAGCTAGGGTTGGAAGGGACCTCAAGACATCATCTAGTTCATCCCCTTGTTCAAACCAGGACCATCCCCCACTAGGTCATCCCAGCCAAGGCTTTGTCTAGCTGCATCTTAGAAACCTCCAAGGATGGATGTTACACAACCGCTCTGGGTAACCTGTTCCACTGTTGTACTACCCTCCTAGT